CAGTAAAAATACCAAAATAATCCCGGATAAACGATCCATACGGATCTATTTATTTTCCCTGGAAGAGAGAAAAGGGGGGTTGGAAGAAAATATTCATTTTTGTTGATTCTTCTGCAGATGACGCCTTTATAAAACTATTAACCATTTTCTGGTATGATATTTGAATATGGTGTTTTTGAATATAGAGAAAATAATGACTACCGATATTCCGGTAGATCGGAGAGGCTGCCAAGTCCAGAAAGAAGTTAATATTATGGCTTTATCGATTTCTAAATCAGATAGTAGCTAACGACATTCAAATGTTTCTCGTATGTTTTTTTTTCTCTCTGACCAAACCGTTAAATGGGATCAGAATCTAACTCATGACGAAAGGTTTTCTAGATGATGCTGTTTTTTTATTTTTATATTATTTTTTTATTTTATTTTTTGACAAACCAGATGAACTGGAGGACGACAAAGAATAATGACAAAACAAATCACCTGATATTGGAAGATTTCGAGCGAATCTTCTTATAAATATCAGTAAGATTATGCTAAGAAGATTCGGATATTTAATCATTTTTTGGAAGAAATAACGCGCAGTGTTCGCTCCATCTGTCATGCTTTATGCAATTCGAATTAAGCTACGTCCTGATGCGAATTTTAAATTGTTTTAATAACAATATTATTATTATTGAATTTTACTTTAATTTAAGGAAATTTTTCGATCTTAAATCAATTTCTTTCCACCCCTGTTTTTGCGGATTATACACGTAACAATTACAAATAAATAAATAAATTGACTTCTGTGTGTTGTATAAGAATTTGATTTAAATATATTTTATAAAACTTTAAAATTTGGATTATTCTAGATAACAATTCGGAGCATTCGAGGGAATTGAGATATTTAATATTTTTAATCAGTTACCGCCGTGTTCACAAGGATGAAGAGTTGGAAGTTAACTCCTGATCTTTGCTTATTGGTTAATTTCTAACTCTTAAGTCTTGGTTCTTGGTTGTGAATAGGGACTACACATTTATAACTCGACCCACAGGTCGACAACACGATTTGTAAATGGCACGTGTAGAAAGTGTCGCGAATTGTCACTCGTATAAAAAAATCCAGTAAAAATTGACGAAAATACTAATCTAAAATCGAATTGTTTTGTATTTAATTTGCTTATTTAAAACTTCTATTGTCTTACTACCAAGGCCGTGGAAAGGCGGGTGCCATAGATGATGGGCGAACTAATAAATTCATAGAGAACTGTGACATACGAGTATGGAAAATTATATTATGAAATATAATATGCATTATATTAATAAAAAAAAATTTTTTTATAATTCTGTAACAGGCTTATCCAAAAGGCGCCATATTTAATTGTGGCTCTGGTGCCAAACGCTCTAGTCACGGCCCTGCTTACTACTATCTAATATGATCCCCTATATTCGACAAAGTAGGCTACTGTACTTAATCTGCTATACTTGCTGTACGTTACTTCTCATGTACTTACAAAATACAAAATTATATATTTACAAACAACTAGACACAGGAGAGATTTAATTTATTAAACCAACAATAACTTTAAAAAAAGAAGAACGTAGCGATGTATGTCCGGTAAGCCTTGTTACGCATATGTAAATGTTACGTTAAATATTTTATTGTATACATAATTCGACGACACAATACTAGAGATACAAACAAGCTTATCGTGTATCCAATGGATTTGTATGCAAACGATCGCTCAGTGTGTGCTTATATTACATAAATCTCAACTATCCGAAATGCATAGAAAAAAGAGGTTAATTATATATAAATTAAAAGGTTGTAAATAAACAAAAACACCGTAATCATTAAGTAACATTACATAATTAAATAAGGCATAACTGAAATACTTGAAGTATCATTTACATAAACACAGTAACACTTGGAGTATCAAAGAAATTGTTAATGTATCTGTTACGGAAATCAAAGATTTATAAAATGTTAACGAAAAACTTTACCATTTCCTCCTGTTAAATATGAGCAATTAATGCCATTTTTAATGCAAAGTATCACACGGTAAGACTTGGCGCATCAAAGAAATTGTTAATGTATCTGTTACAGAACTCGAAGATTTATAAAATGTTACTCGAAAACTTTTTAAAAAAGTCTAAATTGTTTGATATATACCGCGATATATCATAATCTCTACGTTACATTATTCATTCTGATACAGAGTGCATGTATCAAAGTGTTCAGAAATTTGTTTTCCATCTACCAGTCGACTACAAACACATTTTAAGCAGCAGCAGAACTTTCAAAACACACCACGTTACCTACAATGGATGTGAAATTTTTTCCCTCGCCTCCCGTAAATTCGAAAGAATTCCGTTGAGGAAAAAAAAATTATTGATTTAATAAATTTCGTAAGAATTTCTAATTAATAAGGAAAATTTGGGTGTTAGACGTGTTCAACTAAGTACAGAGAGTTTAACAATGGAGTCGAAGAATAAAACAAAAGGCGTGGAAACTAAACAATATCCGAATAGGGGAAGAAAAAACGGAAAATTTGAGAACAAAGATACGTCCGATTATCTAATTGGTGATGAATTGTAAATAATTAAAAGTAAAGGCTGATTTCCCTCAGGATGTTGATTGCCAAGATTGAAGCACCATCCGTTCTTCTTTTCCATTTCTCAACAACTTCGTATTCATCATTCGGAACTTTTTTCTTTTTTTCTTACTTTTTTCTTTTACTTTCCTCATTCTATTCTTAATTACAAGAGTTCCCATCAAGACATATTTATTTTGCAAATTGATTCAATTGTCTCCAAAATGATGAACGGTACAAAAGACAATGAGACGAAATGACTTTTTGTTTATGGAAGTCACAATGGAGATTTTATTCCTTAACATCTTCTTTAATTTTATTTATTCAGTCCCTTTAATTAACCTATCCTCCAATTGAATAATTTTAAATATAAAAATTTGTTTTAATAGATTGTAAAATTCAAATAAGATCGACCGTTAATTCATAAATGGTTTATATAATGATTATTTTCAAATGGAACGAAGGTGAATGCGCTATAGGTTGATTTAAATAACGTCATCAATTGCTCTGATAATTAAATTGTTCCTGTTTTTTTTTTCTTCTTCTTTTTTTTCCCTTTCTTTTTCCGAAATTAAAAGAGAGTAAAATTGATTTTTATCAATACACTTTCGTTAAATTAATTCAAAATATTCGTGTTTAAATTCTGTATTTATTTTTGATTCGTAAATTAATAATAAATCATCCCAAAATGGATGAAAAATATAGAAGCGATTGTTTATTTCCTGCTCTTAAATATGATCAATTAATGGCTTTTTTAATGCAAAGATTATGCCCCAAATTTACCATTTTCTAGCTCGGAACTTGTATGTTTTGGTTAAACATTAGTTAAATATCAAGAACTTCCGTAAATTTGGTGAGTTGTCTCATGAAAATTCGCCATTTAAAATAGCTATTATGACATTTTTCTCAATTAAAAAAAAATCATAATAGCTATTTTAAAAGTCACTTTATTAAAAGGACAAAAGGGAATTCTTAATGGATCCTTTTGTAATTCTTTCTCTTTAAAATTGCATATTTTTCAACAAGCTTTAAGTAACTCCGTAAAGCATAGAATATATTATTTTTTAATATGTATTTTTAAAAAGCTCTTAAAAAAAGTTTTTTTTTTATAAGTCCTATTACAGATTATACATATAAATCTCTTCCTCTTCTTACAACTCATCGAGCTTTAGTAATAGTGGTGATGCGATAAAAGGCCTGACTGAACTGTTCACGATTGAGGAAAACTCTCGTATTACCTCCAATCGATTATTACATCTTTACCAGTAATTAAAGACAGAAGACTCGAAGGAGGGAATACAGGACGTCATGACGTCATGTCGCGTGATGCCATATGTCGCCTCCACCCACACGAGTGGCTATAGCGGAGTAATGACAAAGAGGCACGCCTGTAGCTAATGGCTAGGTTATGGGGCGTTCCCCCGTTTCGACTTGGTTGAGTTTAGAAATAACTGTCGACGATGGTAATTTTGCGTTCGTGATTTCAGCATTTCTGCACGTGTTTAATTAATTAGTGGGCTGTGCACCCATAAGCCAACGACCCTGCCTAGACTGACTCGTTCGGCATCTTGTTTGGGATCACATTTTGTGAAGGGCGGTGGCCATCTGTTGGTACACTACCCTACCATGGAATGATAAGTGTAATTAATAAATGGTGCCGAGATTTTCGTTATTCTAATTACAAAGTTTTGATACAATGATTAAAATTATATTTAAAAAAAATTAAATTATTGGATAAATGATATCCTTCATTACTCAAACTATTAGCAATATTATTTTTGGAAATATTTTTTAAAAAAAGGCTCATTAGCAAATTTAAATTCAAATATCTAATACGTTAAAATTGTTAATAACTTAATTGGTTCACTGTAATTCAAATCATCCAATCAGAACAAAGACATAATTAAAATTAACTAGATGGCGTGTAACTAACTGTTAATGTCGTTATAAAAAAAATCCAAAGGAATTTTATTTTTATTTTTATTAATAATAATTCAAAACCATAAATTAAATTATACAAAAAATTATTTAAATTTTTTTAAATAAAAAAA